TACTGGGGATCAGACTCATAACCTTGTATTTGCCAAGCAGGCGCTTAAACCACTGAGCTAACTCTCCAGCCCTGCCAGCAATTTTCTACAAGTTAGTATCTAGCCTTTTAGAGATATAAAATGACTAGTCCAGAGTAAATAGTCACAACAGAAATACATATTCTTAGGGAGCTAAGTCACACGTGGGTGGGCCTGTTGGATGATTCTCCTGCAGGATAGTGCTTTCTTAGCATCTATTTCCTTATAGACTTCATAACTATTCTACTGCAGGTTTTACTAATATTGTGTCGCTCTTCCTCACTAAACTTGCCTAAGGGGAAGGAAAGAGGATTTAACAGCTCTTACCTTGTAAGGTGTTGTAGGTGTTCAGTTCATATTTGTTGGATAAATGAGTCAAGAGCTGAATGTTGATGCATAGTGAGGATATTTCAATCACCCATCACTAGTTAGGCTACAAGCGTTGGCATTCAGAGTGCCTGAACTCCCCGAGGGCCTTTTGCCCATGCCTAAGTACTTCTGCTCTGCCTGCCATCTTCCTTAGGCCCTGGTTCCCAACCTTGTCTGTCCTTGAAAATGACGTGGGGAGCTTTAAATACAAAATAAAAATACAAGTGCCTAGGCCCACCTCCAGAAGTTCTCATTTAATTACGATTTTTAAGAGATCTTTAGCTGATTCTTTAATGGAGCTGAGATTAAGACTTCTCGTGAAAGCCATGTCATACATTTTCAACAATTTTGCTTAAACTAAAAGTATGTATTTGGTTACACTGGCACCCAGGGTGTATTAGTTATGGAGATACTTACTCTCAAGGTTGTGCAAGTGTCAACTGTGCACTAACATAGCTCTGAGAGTGAATGCTTCCTTAAATGTTGGCAATTAGCAACTTTGTAGCCTTACTGTAGTTGGTTAAACAAATGGGTAAAATAGCTTACTTGGAGAGTAGAAGGAAATGGGGTGAAATTTGAGGACCAAACAGAATTCCTGATGAGGGAAGCATTTGAGAAATACTTGCCCTGGGAACTGCTGCTGCCTTTCTTTCTGGGGACTGGACTGAAGTATATGTGAGGACTTAGGATAGGTAGGATATAGAGTATACTTCCTAACATTCTGTGTGCTATGAATCCTTTTGATGAAGACTATGGGTACCTTCTCTGAATATTTTTTTTCTTTTGGGGAGGGTGTTCTAAGGATCAAATTCAGGGCCTTGGACATGCTTAGCATACACTGTACCGCTGAGGTACACCCCAGCCCAGAATAATGTTTCAAATGCATACAAAGCCACATGATTATAAAGGAAGCCAGTTATCTTAAAATAACCACCAAGATAGTCAAAAGAAATTACACTATAGCAACATACATGCTTCTTTATTAATACATTAAATAAAAGACCTAACAGTGATTGAAACTACCATACTTTCAGAGTAGTAATGAATGAACATAAACAGCACATCAAGATATCTACAGCTGCAGTGTGATGTGAAAATACCTGATTAGTTGAGTTATAATGTTACAGATAACTGCTGATGAGTGGGAGTGAACCTATGGCACGTGTGCCACAGTGGGCAGTTTATTGTCATTGGAAGCTCTAAAAGGTTCACCATCACTGCCATAAGTGGTTTGTTATTTGTAATCATAACTGAAAGGAATGTTTAATTTCAATTAGGGTAGAAAACAAATGTGATTTTTTACTCTTATCCAAGGTGAAAGATCCCTTGTTTTCTTTTCAGTAATCCCTTTGGGCGGCCATGAGCCCTACTAGGGCAATGGTGTGGTTCAGGTAGTCTCTAGGGCTGTATTCCCAAAACGGTTTGGTGGCAGTCTGGCACAATCTGCAATGGAAGTATACAAAATTAGTACAAAAGAATGAGTTATTTATAAAACTCATGTATGAAATTTAAAAAACTGATTTTTTCTCTTGTTGAGCATCTTTTAATAAAATTGATAATGGAATATAGTTTAGGATAAAACTCTTGGCAAATAAAATGCTGGCAGCTTTATTCTGGTCCTTTTCATTTTTGTGGGTGAGGATTTACTGTTCTGTGAAACTACACAGAGGATAAACCACCACTGTAGTTATAAGTCTGTCACCAAGGAGATCCTCAGGCAAATCATTTAACTCCCAAAGCTCCTCACTTACCTGTAAAACAACCTTTTTAATCCAAGTGATTTTGTACCTTCAGGAGACAAGTGGTAGTATATGGAGACATTTTTAGTTGTCACAAATGAGGAGAGGGTGTCATAGGCATCCCATGGTTAAAGGCCAGAAATGCTGCCAAATGTCCCTGTATGTGACAGGACATCCTCTTCTAGCAACAACAAATGATCCAGTCTGAAATGTGAATAGTGCTGAAACTGAGAAAGTCTTCTGTAATGTAAGAATCAATACCATTAGGGCTAATTCTGCTGCCTCACTTCCTGAGCTTAGTCTTTTTAGATCCTAAATTCAGGGCCTTGAACACGCTTAGCACACACTGTACCACTGAGCTACACCCCGGGCCAGACTAATGCTTTAAATGCATACAAAGACACATGATTATAAAGGAAGCCGATTATCTTAAAATAACCACCCTGAGAAGAGTTGAAAGAACTTTGCAGCAGTGAATACTGTTTCAGTAGTTTCTATGGCTTTTTGGAGGTCAGCCTAGGTTACTTAATGAGATCCTCTCTCAAAATAAAGCAATAAAGAGTGAAGAATAATAACAATAGCAGCGGCAGCAACACCACCACCACCATGTAACTGAAGAAAGTGTAAGAAAAAGTTCAGCTATAAAAATTTTGCCTTTTGCTGTTGGTGGCCATCTAGGCTAGAATGTTGGTTTCCTAGACAAACATTTCTGAAGAAATGCCAGAGTGAGAGAATGTTTGAAGTGACACTGTCCTAAAGAGTATCCGGGAGTCCTATGTATAGTCCTGATATAACTATTGGTATTTTTCATACTATAGGTGTTAGTTACTTTTCTCTCATTGCTGAGACAAGATACCTGATGCCTAACATTAAAGGAGGAAAGGTTTATTTATCTCACAGTTTGTGGAGGTTTCAGTTTATAATTGGCTGGCTCCAAGGCAGGGTGGCAACATGGCAGAGGGGCAACACTTCATGGCAGTGGAAGATAGCACAAGCAATGAGAGCTTTTTCTTTTCCCCTTTATCCAGACTTCTGGGATTAGCGTGGTACTTATCCAATCAATGGACTGATCCAGCAATCACCCAGTTTTAATTACAGCACCCTTAATCCCAGCATTGTACTGTGCATCAGTCTCACACTCTAGATTCAGCTGCCTCTGAAAATCCCACTCCCCTATGACCACATGAGGCTTTAGGGGAGCATCTAGACACAAACCATAACAACATGTTATGTTCCATTGTTCCCACAAGTGATCTTTTGAATGCCAGAAAAATACTGATCAGGGAATTTATAAATAAATGCTGACTGTCTGTTGATTTTCCCTTCAAGACATACTTGGAAGTAGAGTCATGGACAGACCAGGGTAAAAAGTATTTTATGTGATCTTGTTCCATCTTTTTAGATCTTTTTTGCAGACTGGGCTGAAACAAATACTTTTTTGAGAACAGAAATATAGGATGGGCTTATACTTGATTCAGTAAGACTCTGGAGTTTCTTCTCTCTTGCCTTTTTGCTTTTGAAATCCATTCCTGTTTTGAATGCTGGAGAAGTGCCCAATATTGGGAAAAATTAAAACATTAAAAATGGCAGCCATGCTCTCTTACAGGAGAGTCTTGATTTAATTTTCCAGATAGGTTCCTTTGTTTATGTCTCTTGGGCCCTTGGTTGATTGATCACACAGAGATTTGTCATCTTGCCTGCTTCTTTGAATCAAACATGAACTTAGCAAACTAAAAATAAACACGGTGTGGTTATTAGAGAAGGAGGGGCCTCCTTTACTTGGGGAGCTGGAGTGCTTGCTGTTGCTAAGATGTTTTCTGGCTTTAGCACAACATTGATCATTGAAAGTGCAGCTGTGTTTTGGACTTGAGAGCTGATAGAAGTGCAAAGGCACACTGAAGAGTATTATCTTGAACAATGAGTGCAGATGCAAGTCATTATGTGCAATCCATAATATTATCCCCATTTTCGTGGATCTTCCTGTAGCGCGACTGTGTGTGATGTGCTGTACTGAGAGCTAGAAGTGTGCCAAAGTGTCATTTCCATTTTCAGAAGTTTTTTCAGAAGTTTGAAAGACAAGTAAATATACCAGATTGTTACATTTCAGGTCTTTGTCGCATTGTGAATGGACAATGATTTTGACATTAGAATCTGGCTAACTGTTAGATTGATTGTTCTGACTTGGTATCATTTTCCTAATATGTTATCAAAAGACAACTGGAGATTGAGTGTGAAAATTCCTTGAAAAATTACATTGAGTTGGAAACTGTTCTAACCAGTAAATTTGTACTAAGAATGAGGGATCTTAATGTAGGGTCCAGGTAAGGACCAACTTGCCTGGACTCAAACCATGGTTCACCCACAGATGACCTGTGTGATCTTGGGAATATTATTTAGCTCCTTCATGTCAGTTTCTGCATCTCAAAAGGGAGTTCATGATGATACTTTTATCTTACAGAGTTGTTGTGAGGATTAACTGCATGATTTCTTACTGTTGTTTTGTATAATTAAGCATTCTTTTAAGTGTTACCTGGTAAAGTTGTCATTTATTATTGTAGTTATACAATGTCACATCATTTTTATAAGCACTGTACTGAGGGATGAAGTGGGAGGTCAGTCCCAAACTTGAACTTGTTTTACAATGATTCAGCAGCATTGAGATACATTAAGTCAGAACACGTTGGTTAAACCATATCATTTTTCCATCATGACATTGTTATAGGAGTCCTTAATGTGCCTAAGTCAAAACTGAATTTCTATTTAGTGCTCTGGATTTTTTTCTCAAAAAAGGATTCATCTTTAGCCATTGAGTTCCCCCTTTTTACAGCTTTTAAATAAAGTCTCACTTGAGTTTCTCTGATTCTGTTCCCAAAGAATTGCCTCTGCCTCGCTTTATGATGTCAAAGAATGATAGTGAGGTGAGATTTGGGAATTCAGCTGAACTGCATGGAAGTAAGGTTCCGATTCCATACTTAACCACAGAAAAAAATTCCTTCAAGAGAATGGACGACGAGGAAAAACAGGTAAACAATCCGATTAGACATGTTCATTTGATTCTGACTGTGAAACTTCATGTAACAGGGCCTCTTATCTGTCTTTGAGCTTCCAGCAAATCTCACCATCTGGAACACAATTACAGAGTTGGAAGTGAGCCAGTAAAGTTTCCTTGTAGCAAGAAAAAGAGCTTAATGCTTAGGAATTGCCATGAGCCACTAATGGGCTCTTTAGAGCCTACTTAAGAGAATTGCATCTAAAATAAGACTACTGATTCAATACACGTGTTTTATTTCTCTAGGTTAGTGGTTTTCTAAATAGGTTCTTTGAAGTATAACTCCCAGGAGTTACAAAGGTTTCTCTAGTTAAATATGTGAGGATAATGTAGCTTCATGTCTCATTCTTGGAGGAAAAGACTAAATCTTGGAAAAGACTTAAGTCTTGGAAATTCATTGTGCACAGTGGTACATACAGTACAGGCTCTGAGAAATCTTACAGTAAAGAAACCTGGAGGTAAGGGCTTACTAAACTCATTTCACCAGGTAATCCTTTCTTGGGGACATTTAAAAAGTGCCATCTTGGGAAATGCTGCTTTTACTTATTTAATAGGTTTGGAATCAGAATAAGGTGAATGGGCTTTTAAAATTAGGCCACTAATTGCAGTAGTCAGATGGTGATTGGTAAAGACAAAAGTATGATACCCCCCAAAAAAAGTCTTATCAAGAAAAGCTAAAACAATAGTCTTTGCATTGGTAGACTCTGAGGATATCTGTGTATAGCTCATATTTTGATAATAGAGACTGAGTCATACAGAGAAGTCAAATTATGTTTGACATAGTGTTTTCTATAAAATAAAGGAGTTTGTTATATTTTAGAAAGGTTTGAATCAAAATGTTTTAAAATGCAATGAATATTAATGGATTATATTGGAAAACTAACTTGTATGGCTTATCCTGATGATAGTGAATGTTTGAGATATTGCTGCAAAAGTTTTATAGTTGAAGGGTGTTTAGTATATCTTGTTAAACAATTGCATTTGTTGTACTATTATTAACAGTATTGCAATTGTACGGTTATTTGCTTTATTTGGGCACATTTTAAACTAGTTCTTCAGGAATATATTAAAAGGGTAGGAGATAGTTTGGTATAGTGGGACATGCCTATAATCTCAGCACTGTGAGCAATAGAGATTTAGTAAGATTCTGTCTCAAAGAAACAGAGGTGTGGGATTGTTGAAGTCCCAGTACTGGAAAAATGAAGCAGGGAGTATAGGGATTTCTAGTCAGTATTCTTTGGCATGTTTTTCCATCAGCATTTATGGAGGAATGAAGAGCCACTGCCCCATAGTGTTGGATGCCCTGGAAAAATTTCAAGTTCCAGTTCCCAACTGTGTGACTAAGGATCTATCTTTTTACTCGGAGCTATGTTTTTATTTGGCCTACCCATTTTATGGTGTGGACACACACTTCAAAGCAAATACAATTTCTTTTTCTTGAAGAAGAGTATTTGATCACTGTATTAGGTTGCCTATTTCTCTTCAGACTAAATAAGCCAGTATAGTTTCTGTGTTATAAAAATACTATTTCCTTATTATGTCAGAGTTACCACTATATTGGTAATGTTCAAGAGGGAGGAGGAAACCCAGGAGCAAATCAGGTTGCTTACCTTGCCTGGGGTGCTACTATCAGGTTCATATTTGAGTTGGGAAACAAGTTGGAGCTTGTGAAGACTCCATCTTAGTACTTAGGAACAGACTAGTGGAGTTGTTTACTCATAAGGTATTGATTTGCAGTGTAAAACAAAACAAAACAAAATAAAAAGTGGACATTTTAATTTACCATAGTAAACTCCAGGAGTACTTAGCATTACATATTTAAAATAAAAATTATTACTCTCACATTTTCTGGAAGACTTGATAGTATATATACAGGAAATAGGAGTCTTTATTAATAAATTCAAATTGAATTTATCCCCAACGAATTGGGGATATATTGGGGGTATAAAGGTAATTTTGTGTGATCAGTGTCTTTTACTTTCTGAAGGAAATATTATTGTAATAAGTGAAAGCATTTCAGGCTGGTTTTGATAATTTAGATAACTCAGCATTGGTGAGCCTTTATTCTCTGGGAGACTTTTGAATCCTCAGATGCTGCCTTTTAGCCCTACTGCATTTTTAAGGCAACATTTTTTCCCATTTGTTAAATCACCTGGGTCACCAGTCTTAGAGTTGCATTATGCCTCCTAACTGCAGTTTATAATGCTAGGATTCTCAAGTGGTCACCTCTGAACTCTGCTTTGGTTCTTTGAAGCAGGAAACACAGTCTCCCACGAAGTCACCCCTCGCCTCCCCTCCTTCTTCCCCGCCTCATTACCAGAGGGTGCCCTTGAACCATGGCTACAGCAAACTGCGGAGCGGTACAGAACAGATGCATCCAGGTAAGAGGTGACCTGGGAGCCACCTGTCCCAGATAGTGTCTTAGAGACTCCTTAATCTACCAGGCAGCAACACACCAGCTACTTAATTTCTTGATTAAATTACTTTTGTCTTTGAAAACATGATTGAATTTAATTTTGTATTCTTAAGCAAGGGTTTTTTTAAAAGCATTAAATCTAAGTATAATGTGTTGTCTCCTAGCCTAGAAACTAGATAATCTTTAGACCTGTGAACAACTGTTTAGATGGTTTAATCTTTCATATTTAGATCTCACTAAACAGAGACATAGCATGTTAAAGGTTTGCATTTCTGGGATTGTTATTTCTTTCTGCAAACATATTAAATATGTTTATACAGTAACTGCTTTTATGAAATTCCCTTAAAATGTAAGTATGCAAAAGGAAAAGAGTTGATCCAGCCTTTAAATATTGGCTGTATAAATGAAAATATTGAGCCCTTGTGTTTTGGAGTAAGTATGAAGGAAATGCTAGGGGTTGCATTCTTCTGAGAAGCATGTAGCACATACAGTTGTGGGGTTGCCTGCTTGTTTACATTTATGCTCTAATGGCTGTGTTAGTGGTAAAAAAAATGTTAGCTGGTTCCAAGGATGACTTGCAAAGTTGGCTACCCATACTGCAATGTTTAAAGCTACATAGATTTACTGCAGTATCTTGTCCTTCTGGGATTAGGCTTCCTACTTTAACTAATTTAGGGTAGTCTAAATTGGGTGTGCTATAATCCCCATTTTTATTTTGTGGATTATGGCTGAACATTACCCAGTTTCTGCAGGCTTTTGTTGCATTGAAAAAAGTGGTGACATCTAGAGGGTCACAGAAATAAAAATGTATGCCCAAAAGAACTAGGAAAGACTGTAATCTTGCAGAGAGAAGTGGATGTGGCATGGTAGAAGGGTCCTTGTATTGGAAACAGAAGGTCACAGAAGGCTTCTGTGACTAGATGCATGACTTTAGGCATGTTATTTAACTCTCTGTACCATAGTGTCTTCTCTTGTAGAGTTACAGTGTCCTATAGAGATGTTATGAGGATTCAGTCAGAATGAGTATAAAATCTCTTTGGAAATTGAATCCTGTGCAAATACAAGATAATGTTGTTAATGGATAGCACCAAAAAAATCACACTTGAAACTTCAATATTCTATTAGCATTGGCATTTGGAACAAGGCTGAGAATTCTTCATTTTCCTCTTCTAGTTTCCCTTGCCTGATTTCCTGTTTGATACAAGTGGGTCTTTTTTCAATTTGTATTCTTATTTGGGCTTGTAAATTGATCTTTAATTCATAGGTGAATCTTTTTTTATACTGAGTCTATCACAAAGTTCTATTTGATATTCCTACGAAATACTTGTATTCTTATTTCCTGCCCCATCCCCTCATTCTATCCAAATTGGGCTCCCGTCCTCCCAGTGCCAACTGATTGCCCCCATCTTCCTAGACTGTTAGCAACCTATGCTAAGGCTTTACACAGCTTCACTCCTTTTTATGCTTTTTAAAAGGTGGAGTAAAATTTATGCATGATAAAATGCACATATTTTATATTTTCAATTTTGATTTTAATAAAGGAATATGCTTATGAAACCACCACTGAAATAAAAAATAGAACATTTCTATTATGTCAGAGATGTACCGCTTCACTCACTCCCTAGTCCCAGTGCACTGTTTAGATCATTTTTAGTATTGCTTAGTTTTGGCTCTTCTAGAAGTTCATACAAATAGTAGTTCATACAGAATGACTGTACTTATATGTGTCTACTGTCTTTCCCTCAGTATAATGGTTCAAATTCATCCATATTGTTGTATTGGTAGTTCTTTCTATTTTATTATTCAGGTGAATCTATTGCATGAGTGTACCAGTTTGCTTATTATTCTCTTGATGGATGTTTGTGTTGTTTCCAGTGTTTGGCTATTATGAATAAAGATATTCTGAACCTCTACACATGAGTCTTTTTGTGACATATGCTGTCATTTCCCTGGCATTTAGGAGGAGAATTACTGGGTCTTAGGGTGGGTATATAAGAAACTATCAAAGGGTTCTAACTTGATCCTGAGCTTCAGAGTGATGAGATTTTAAGGAGTTTTAAAAATATTTCTTTCCTTGGAGAAAGATTGTACTTGTAGTTCTTTGTTAAGCTTCCTGTGAGGATAATGAAGAATTATTTGGTTTGCATTGAGTTGCATATTTTTGAGTTTTATTGGGGGAGAAAATAGAGTTGAGGTAATAAGTAATACCTGCTTTTTACCTCCTGAGTTCCCATCCAGGGGAGGAATGAGCCAGAAGTCAGACCAATGATGGCCTGAGTATCAGCTTTGTTGCTCATCCAGCTAACTGAAGCATATGTCTTAAATGTGTAGCTAGATGGACTTCTGATGCTCACCTTTCCAGTCACAGGCAAGTTGGCTGGGCTAGGTTTCCCACACAGAAGAAAATCTGCCTTTTCAAAATGACCTTGCATGTAGCTGAGCTTCATCCAAGACTCACTGATGCAATACATCTGTCTCTCCAAGGGAAGGTCTTCGGAGGTGTATGATTTGAGCTTAAGGCCAGATGGCAGCCTGCTCTACAGTGTGTCTCCCCTGAGCAGTAGAAGGTCTCTGCCTCTTATGGGAAGCAGAGGCATATGGGATTCATGGGCTTTACTTCTCAGGGAGAGCGCATGATCATGAGGATCCTAATAAGGCTGTAGTTTATTTAGTTTAAAGCCTTCTAGAAGACTAGAGTAGAAGGGTTTAATTCGATGTTCCATCAACATGGAGTTATTTTTAAAATTCTGCTTGTCAGAAGACAATCCCTGCCTACCAGCAGAGACCTAGTTTTTTAAGATTTGGATTATGTGCTTTCTATCTATGTTTCTTCTGCAGTTTTTATGTGTGAATTCATTCCTAGCAGTTTCTGAAAACCCACTTAATGATTTTCCAGGCAGTCATTTTGATATTTTAATGTATGCTCTTGTATTTTAATGTGCTATAACATTGCTAAGAAATAATTGCAGATAGCATTTCTAAGAAACAAAAGCAGATGTGAGCCTGAGTGGGTTTTTTTGATATGCTGTTATTCTTATATTTTATTTTAGAAATATCAAACCATGCTAAACCTGGTAGCATAACAGACTGCATTCCTTTCCACCTAATTTTATTTATAAGTCAGTTACAGAAAGAAAGCATTTTATGTATTTTTATACTTTCCAGAACTCGAGTTGTTCATCCACAGAGAAGAGAAATGGTTTTGGCTTAGGCGATAATTCCTCTTTTCCGTTGGAACCAAATACTACCTGGTTATGTTTAACTGTCTTCCTGCAATATTAGCAAGGTCATTAAATGTTCTATAAATAAAAGAAGCAAAATAGTACGTTTGTTTAGCTTAGACATCTCCTTTTTAAATATAGAACAATTGTTTTAACATAGTTTGGTTATTGAATAGTAGGAGAAATAGACACAAAATACCTTTATTTGTTTTATCTTTTTCTCTACTTGGTTTTGTATTCTGTAGAATGAAGATGACAGTGCCATTTATTTTTAAAAATGATAATGTTGATTCTTAGTGTTCAAAATGCGTATTAGTTTTCTTTGGGCGTGGAATGATGAAAGGAAGGCATTTAAACAGGTGTGTATTAGCATTTACCTTGTACTGTACCAGAATTTGAATATTTGCAACATGGCACATTTCTAGGTATTCTTGTTTTGTATTTTTTTAAAATCCTATTTGAGGTTTTCACGCTCATACTATATTGTGACTCTTAACTTGTTGTGTTTTCCTGCCTTATCACAAATACGTTGGGTGTTTTTGGATTATGCCTAAAAATATCAGGGTTTTTCTGTATTGATGGCCCTATGAACGTATGCTCTAATTCCTTTGCCAATTCTTCCCTGAAATACAAATGTGTATCAGTTTGAGTGTGAAGTAATAATTTTGAGGTGAATCTTTATATACATGCTAAGTTTCTCTCCTGTGATTTCAGCTCCGTATGAAGGTAGACAGCCCCTTGTTCAGTCTGAGGTATCCTCATCTGGGGGTCCAGGAGCCAAACCTCTTCGACATCAGGCTTCCCTTATCCGGGTAAGTGACTACATGGGGCTGTGTCAGTGTGAGGAAGTGGAGAAAAGTTTGGATTTGTGGGACATAGCTTTTTTTTCACTGTAGGGAAGATGTAAAACTACCTCTTTATACAAATAACTGCATTTCTTGTTCTCTTGCTTGTATGTTTTCTTAAATTGTTTCCACTATGTTTGCTTCTACCCCTTTCAGTGTCTCAAGAATAAGCCATGCTGGTTTTTGATCTTTGGTGTGTATTAAGTATCTTTCCAGCTTCATCTACCGAATCATTATGCACTTCCTTCACTTTTTCTAAAGCAGCCCATGCCTTATTGTTATTATTTATTCACTGTATTACAAATGTTTTCCATTTGCTTTGCACCTTCAGTAACATAATAAGCTTTTGAAAAGCAGCAGTAATTCTGTATTTTCTCTTAGTGCCTAGAACAGTGTCATTTGGGGAATAGTTATTTTGTAAAAGTTTCTTGTAAGTAATGGCAAAGGCACAGGTAATATCTGTTTGTCCCACCCACACTGTAGCTCAGACAATTTCAGTTTCCTTTCCTTCTATGTTTTGCTTTGGATAAAGAGCTCTTAGTTTTTTCTGTATCTGCAGCTGTTGTCTCGTATGATATCTCCGAATCCTGTGCTGGGAAACTTATATTGTCAAAGAACTCTCTGTGTGTATAGGGAAAATTACCCAAAATTAGGTTTATTTTTTAACACTGAAGAGGAAGTGGGGTGGTTTGTATAGCATTTCAATTGTATAACTCAGGAAGAATGATCATTTATCCACAGGCAGTTCTACTCCAAATAGAAGAGTGGTATCAGACACACCCATAATGAAGTGGGCTATTAGTTTGGAACAGAATAAGCAAAGTGTCCTAGGAATATCCTGGAGCTCACCGAGTTCGTTGTGGGAGGGACACCGTGTTAGACATGGTGCAGAAGTTGACCTTCTGAGCTCATTCTCTGTGTACAAAGAGCTTTTTTTTACTTTTAAAGATAATGACTCAGCTGTATGTGATGTTTTTATATTTAGTCCTTTCTATAACCATAAACTCTAGTTGTTGCTGTCTTTATTAGTATGGACAAGTTGACTGTTCTGACAGAAGTCAAGAAATTAGTCCCAAGTTTTATTCATAAATAGTAAGTGGCAGGACCAGAATTTGAGTACAGGCTGCTGAAGTACCAAACCTTCACTTTGAAATACTTTGCCCGACACAGAGTCCCATAGTATAAAAGGCTAGGTTCTAGAGTTGCTGTGTAAATAAACACTGGGAGTAGTAAAAAAGTGGGGTTTTTTTTGTGGTGCTGGAGGTAGAACCCTTGTGCATGCTAGGCAAATGCTCTACCACCGAGCTACATTCCCTACCCAGAAATCATTCTCAGAAGTCCTTTATTAGTACCACATTGGAGAATCAAGACCCTGTTCTCTCCTAAGGCCATTATAGTTTAGTTTTATCCTCCTAGTTGGAGCAGACAGTTGTTTCTTCAGCTGAGTGCCAGATGTAATAGTTGGCTGCATTTAGAGATCTTGTAGAAAAATATGTGCTTTTAAATACACGACAGTCACACCTATTGTGGAGGCAAGTTTACATTAAGGAAGATATTGGAGAGACTGCTATTCATCCCCAAACTCTCCAGGGCATGGCTGTGCAGGCTTCTGAAGGGCATGCTGCTCAGATAGGCAGTGAGTCCTAAGCTTGCAGTGGTGGCATGGGCTTGCTGGACCCGTTTTACCTAGTCTCTCAGGAAGGGATGGTCATGAGTATCATTTGAATTGGTGTCCTATGACTTCTTGTCTAATGTTTAGGTCCCCCTTTCTTTCAAACATACTTCTTGAGAGCTTGTTGGAGGTTCTAAGCAGGGGAGCACAGCTACTCATATACCCTTGACTGAAGAAATACTCCTCTTCTATAGAGGATGGTTGACCTCTTCTACCAAGTATGAAGCTTTGGGAGGCATACACATGGAGGTGAGAGGGAAAGAGGAAATGCACTTAGCCTCACTGGAGAACAATTTTACATTTTGTTTTCCTTGATAAAATTCCAGACTGGACTCAAATGACTCCATCATAAATTTAGATTGAGAGATTCAAAAAGAACTGAGGAGAAAATACAGCATAAAGATCTTTTCTACTTCATAATGAATCTTTCAACCTAGTTGGCTGAATCAACCCTGCTGGGCCAGTGAAATGACAGATGTTGCTGCCAGATCACCCTCACGTGTCATACATCCTTCTGTTTCTTCTTTTTATTTTTGAGACAGGGTCTTTCTATGTAGTTCAGACTGGCCTTGATCTTCTCTTGATCTTCCCAGCCCAGCATTACGTGTGCTAGGATTACAGGTCTACACTACTAAACCTGATCCAAACCTGCCTCTTGAACCCTTCAGTCACCCAGTGGACATCTGTTAACTGTCAGGAATATGGTGCTGAGGATACAAAAATGAGGTATCACACTAACAGTCCCTGCTGTGCTGGAGGTTACAGGCCATTGGAGGATATTGTTAGTAACCAAACCATTACAAAGTACACACATAGTATGTGATGTGAATTGAAGTTGTATTGCACTTTGAGGTTAAAAACTGGGGCAGATTATGACCTACCCTGGACAGACAAAGGCTGATCAGGGAAGACATGTAGGAGGAGTAACATTTGAGTTGGAATGAAGAGGGTATAGAGGTGTTAACCAGGTGAGGGGGTGGGAATGCGGGTCAGGCAAGAAGTCGGAACCACATGTGCAAGGTATTGGTTGTTTGCTTAATGTTTGTACACATTAACTCCTTCAGGACTCACAGCTGTCTGTCTTCTTAGATAACCACTGGTATCCCAGTTTTTAGATGACAAAACTTGGGGTTTAAGCACTTTATCTTGTTTGCCCAAGGTCACTCCTGGGACCAGAGTTTAAATGCTGAACATCATTTCTCTCTATTGCTGGTTTAGGAAGGGCATGGGTGGTGATGATGTCATCTACTGAGCTTGGAAGCACTGGATGAAAAACTGGTGCTGGGAACTAGTGTAGTAAGTTCAGTCTAGATATTAGGGACTGCATTTTGGATATAGGCAAGAGAAAGTGACCGAAAGTTGCCAGGTTCTGTGAGTTTGGAGCTCTGGGGAGAACCAGGGCTGGATATAGATTTTTGGCAGCAACTGGCCACAAGAAGGTCTTGTGGTATAGTGCTGAAAAAAATCAAACAGGTCCTTGCTCAGGTCCAGCCAAGCTCTGCCCTCTGAGCAAGTTCTTTTTCTTTTCTGTAACATGAATGACTCAGAATGGGTTTAGCAGTTCATTGCAACAATCCCCCACAGCCTGAATTTCCTAATGCTTGTCTGGCATCAGTAGAGGTTCCCCCACCTCCTGTTGGAAGTGTGGCCTTCTGTTCAGATGAGAGCAAGGGCCTTTCTTGCTCTGGACAGCAGCCTGTGGTTTTCGTGGCTGATGTGTTTTGCTTTCTTCAGTTCTTAGGTTTCCTTCTAATGCCTATCAACTGGGTTTGGCTGGCCTCCATGTTGCAGAAAGCAAATGCCAAGCTGAATTAGTTTTAGAGATGAGGATACTTGAAATGAAGGGTTTTGGTGGTAGATTAGTGTTCACTGGGTATGGTGCTAGGCTAGCTTGGTGAACTCATTCCTCTCATGTTGCCATGTTCCTATGCTGATGGCAACTTTCTCTCTTTTCTAGCTTTCTCTGTTGCTTTGTATTCAAATCCTTCCTGCCCGATTAGGAGACTTAGGCGCTGGGTGCTGCAGGAACCCTGTAGGGACTTCTGGCCTATGGAGTTGGCACTTCAGAGGTGCTTATGCAAAATTTAGTGCTCAGACATCAGAATGTTTAGTCTTTTTGCGTGGCATTTTAGGAATGTCACTTTTCCCCCCAGGTATTGGAAGTTTCTCCCTTTGAAATTTCAGATAAAAACATATCCTTTGTTGGTGGATGATTGATAGTGATTAATAAAGAAGTTACAAGTCTTCTGCTTTACCTGTTATCAGGTGTTTAGAGATCATTTTTTAAAAAATTTTGAAGGCAGTAAAAATACAACAGAACAAAGCCAATAGAGACAATGCAGTGAAATTGGTACAGAACTTCACAGGAGGATACTGGGATAGTAAGAGGTACTATAGTATATCTCATTATCATCACAATAGTTGTCCAGTCAATTAGGTATAGCGAAATCAAACCAAAAATAGAACATTATAAAACCAATTCAAAGAGAATATTGAATAGAGCAAAACAATCATAACAAAACAAAACAGTGAAAACAACCTTTGCCTTCAAACAGAAGATAGAAGGAAATCCCCCATATTTGCTGTATTGCATATGGTCATCCTCCCAAGAGACGCTCACACCTTTGTCCCCAGTTGCTAAAGTAGGGGGAGAGATGTTTGATTCTCTTTTTTAAATTTTTATTTAAAAAAAGATTAAGATAAAAGAGGACATAACAACATAGGTCAGAACAGAACAATTTAAGCAACATAGTATTTCACCACAAGACAATCTGACATAACAGTAGCTACCAAAGTATCTCTTTCCTTGAAATATTTGAGTATACCTTGATGTATTTTAGTATCAGACATAAAAAGACAGTGTAAAACCATTCAAGAGAATGAAAGTATTACAGGGTATTCAGAAGCAACTAACAGAAAACGAACAATGGTTACTATAGTATCTCCTTGTCTATAAAAATTTTTGTTTATACTATTACATATAATAAAATCTAATAAGATACAACATGATAAAAACCGATGGAGACAGAAGAACATAAGGTTGGTGGGACTTCAAAACAAGATGATATTAAATCATCACTAGCTATTATAATGTCTTGTTTTCTTCAAAATAGCTGTTCATACCATCATAGACAATAAAATCAAACAACCCAGAATAAAACCATTCTACTTAATGAATGAAAACATTTTAAGGATTCAAAGCAATATAATAGGGAATCATGATTACTACATACTTTTATGTATTCTTACCATTTCTTACACTAGGGAAGCTATTCAGTATTTATACATGTGAGTT